AGCTAAATCTGTCAGTACAGGAATATGGATGTCATTTGGTCAAACAGAAAAAAGTCATACCATTATTATTAAGTGGCTTAGGCTTATCAATATGGTGGCTCACGAGAATGGTCAAATCACCACAATATTCTTTCAATCTTTAGCTTTTAACCTTTCCTAGCCTCGTGATGAAATCTGTTCTTATGTCAAAGTGATCCTGGCTATGCAGACTTGCCCTAGCCCCTCTGGTGAAGCTCATTTTTAATTAGCTATATTTTGGCAAGCATTCAGTTCACAAACCACATCTTTCCCCGTGTTAGAAACCTGTTCACTCATATGTGCATGTAGAGCTCCTTTGTTGAAGATTGTCAGAAATGGAAGGGACCTTGGAGGTTATCAGATCCAACCTACTGCTCAGTGCAGGTCTCTAGGCAAAAAAATCCTGCTTCGCTTCAGAAAGGTTGCTGTATCCCATGTCTGCCACCCAACAGGAAAAGTTTCCATTTCTGTCTTGGCCAAATAACTCCACAGACTGAGGTAAGACATAGAGGGGATGCTTATCAAATTTGCAGATGACACAAAGTTAGGTGGGACTGCTAATTCTGAAGAAGACAGAGGCAGGATTCAAAATTATCTAGATAGACTGGAACAGTGGGCTGAGACAAATAAAATGAATTTAAATAGAGATAATGCAAAGTCCTACACTTAGGTACAAAAAATCAAAGGCATAGATATAGAATGGGAGGGACTTGGCTTGAAAGCAGCACATGTGAAAGGGATCTAGGTTTTCTGGTTGATCACAAGCTAAACATGAGCCTGCAGTGCAATGTGGCTGTGAAGAAAGCTAATGCAATCTTAGGATGCATTAACAGAAGCATTGTGTCCAGATCAAGGGAGGTGGTAGTTCCACTCTATTCTGCTATTGTCAGGCCCCACCTGGAGTACTGTGTCCAGTTTTGGGCACCACATTTTAGGAAGGATGTTGACAAGCTCGAGCATGTCCAGAAGAGGGCAATCAGGATGGTGAGAGGGTTGGAAAGGCTGAAAGAGTTGGGTATGTTTAGCCTGGGAAAGAGAAGGCTTAGAGGGGACATGATTGCAGTCTTCAAGTATTTGAAGGGCTGTCATGTAGAAGATGGAGCAGATCTATTCTCTCTTGCTCTGGATTGCGAGACTAGATCTAATGGGTGGAAATTACAAGGGAGTTGTAACCAGCTAAATATCAGGAGAAACTTCCTAACTGTAAGAGTGGTTGAGCAGTGGAACAGTCTGCCTTGGGAGGTGGTGGATGCTCCTTCGCTGGACATTTTCAAGCAGAGGCTGGATGACCATCTTTCAGGTATATTGTAGGTATGTAGGACTATCTTTCAGTATACTCCTGCAGAGTGCAGGGGGTTGGACTAGATGACCTGCAAGTTCCCTTCCAACTCTAACATTCTATGATTCTATGAAGATATATAATGAATTAAAGTCTAGTGGTTCTCAGGTGCTTGATCCAAAGGTACCTTTATTTACATTAAGTTTAAAAAGCTGATCTGCATACTTACTGATCATCAGCCTTTAACCCTTTTGTATTAAGAATGTGGACTATAAATGAAGTAAGTAAATAAATAAAAGGACCAGTTTTCTCAACAATCCTGATTGTAGTTTTCAGCCCCTAAGAAAGTAAGTGTTGGTTGTTTTGTTTATCTGTTGGGGAGGTCTTATTTTTGTAGCATTTTTCTGAGCTTTTCAGATGTTAGAAGGTGTGTACTTAGGGCTAGAAGGTGTGTACTTGACTTCTTATTGTCCTTTGCTCAGAAGACAGTCAGTACTGTTTTGAAAATAACCTAGATCACTCATTTTTACTACATGTTTTTACTCTACTGATTTTGTTTTCGGAGTTTGCAAAGTGGTTTGTAAGGAATTCTTCCCTGCTGGGGGAAGGGGGGGAGAGGTCTCTTTCTAGGGATATTTTGCATGTCCTCAGTTTAATTTGCCATAGGTGATGCCGTGCCGGGAGTGGGGACAGCGTTTTGGCAAACCTATTAGGTAGCCCCCCTAGCTGTTAAGGGTTCATCACAACCAGAGCTGTGTTCAGAAAAGAAGCTGTCTTCTCTGCCAGGATCTATTTGATTTTGCTGTCTTCCCTTCCACCCTGTGCTTTCCCCCCAGGTGGTGAGTGTTGTATTGCAGGCATCATAGAAAAATTGCTGTTAAGTCCCTGTCTATAAATCTTAAACATCATCATGTTACATGTTAATTAGCTATATATATAAGTTTGAACCTTACCTACCATTCCTTTTTTTAAATAATATTTTTATTTGGTTTTACAATTTTTAACA